CTTTCGAAGTAAAATCGCGCGAATTAAACGCATATGAAATGTTAAAGATTGAGAGAGGCAGGCTCAAAGATCGACCAAGTGTGTCTGACAATTTGGATGTTTGCAAGCAAGAAGGCGAACTATGCAATTAGCCGACAAGTTCCAACTTCGATGATGGAGGACACGCTTCCGCGTTTCTAGCACGTTCCCCGATTCCCGACTGCCTAACCGCTTACTTCGTGGGAAAGCCTGCAGCCTCCACGGCTCCCGACCGTGGATTATTGCACATTGTCCGTGAGACACCGCCTGAGAACTCGCCATTGATTTTCTAACGATTACTTAAGACTTTCCCTCGCTCTTCGTTCTCCAACTTGTACAATGGATTATAATGTTTCTCTTTGGAAACTGTCTCCCTTCCATGTTGTGTGTATTTTCTGCGCGCCATTAAATTCAACGTTTGGACCGAAGTTACCAAGCACCATCGTATGAACTCTCAAAAGTAGAAGGAATATACTTCTCCGACAATTAAATTCCGCCTAACACTTGTTCCAAAAATATATATAGAGTGTGACGAAAAATGTAAAAAATCAGTTAAACACAAATAGCAGAAGAAGTAATAATCCGTACGATAAATGATACATACTCAAAACAATGTCTCAAACGAGGCCTCGCGAAAAAAAGAAATCTATTCCAAAATTTCGATTAATTTTTTTTAATAAGAAATTATTCCATATTTCGTACCACACGTTTTTCACCGCAACCTGTACAATGTGTTTGATAATAATTCTCGACATCTTTTATCTCGCAATCTATTTATTTTTTAATCTTACTTTCTTAAGTAGATTTTGCTTCTCTTTTAATATTACTTAAAAAATATCGTAAATTTTCTCTCTTTCTCCTGTTAATCTACATTTGTTTCATACACCGTTTGCTTTCGGGGTTTCAATGAGCTTCAGTCTCATTATACAAATTAGCACAACGAGATATCGTAGCATGAAAATCCCCTCGCATAAACTTCTCTCCGTTTTCCACGCTGAAACTTTTATTCTACTCTCGCGGAGATTTTTTCTCGTCTACGTCCGCTCTTCCTCGGAGGAAGAGGCGGCCAACCGAGGTGAAAGCAAAACACACGATTCAGAAAGCTCTCGCGCGCGTCACTGATTACATTCGTAATTATTATGACGTGTTAATACGCGCGTACCGGCCGTGAGCGCGCGACGATCTCAATAGATCCTACGTCGTATCTCATCCTATCTACGTGCCGTCGAGCCGTGCGCCGTTATTCCGTCCCCTTGCAAAACATTCCCGCCACCCTGATGAGCTTTGTGCTCCGAATGCCTCGCTCGCACGCGTCTCGCTCCTTGCCAATTCTCCCCTTCTGTACTTTCCATTTCGACGTCACGTCCCGCCTTAAACGATAACGCTTGCGTCGGAGTATCTCCGTTCGCGCATCCAGCGCTTCGTTAACGTCGTTCTCATCGATCTCGGTTGACCCTGACCTCGACTCGAACATACCCGATAAGCGGAAATTGGTCCGTTAAGGAAACAGGCGCTGCTGCCAATAATTTTGGCAAGCTCCAAAGAGTTGTTAAGACATTTTATAAGCTTATCGACAAATTACGCGAATTAATATTAATAATTCGCCTCTATTAATTATTCATAACCAATTAATATTAATATAAATGTCAATCGCTACATTTCGCGATGAACTAAATTACTGTACATGTTATATTTTTATTACGTAATCGTTTATACATAATCTGACGTCAACATTTTAAGTTAATTTATTTCAATTATATAGAACGTATAATATTCAATTATATATTTAAACGTTTTCTAGTATTACGAAACAGCTTCTGCAACGCTATTGCGCGATTAAATAGATTTCCAGTTTGTCAAAAAGCAAGGAACTTGCTCCTACGAGGTTTCATACGATAGCACGCGAATCTTTTTCCCCTGTCATCTACTTTTCGGACAGGCAGCAGAGGGAGTGTTCGAGTTTCCGTGTAAGTTCGAAGGGAAAAGGGGACCCGAATGTGTGAAAGGCGAAACAGACGCAAAGGGGGTGAGAGGGAAGGAAGAAGAAAGGAGAAAAGAAAGATGGAGTGAAGGAGAGGAGCGTAGTTCTTGTGTGTACCGCATGAGAGTGGAATTTTACGCGTGTTTAATCTGGAAATGGATCGCCCGAGAATGCGCCTCTATGAGACGAGTTGAAGAGGCCGGGAGCGAAAACAGATGTAAAAGAGAGAGAGAAAGGGAGGGGGGGGGAG